CCTGCACCTTCCTCAACCTTTCCAAATCTCCATGCATTTAACTGCAGTTTTTCTGTCTAGAATTCCCATTGTCCTTCCCTTAACTCAGAAAAAAACAAAATAGCCACTTCTTTAAGATTCACTTCAAAAGTCATCTTCTCCATTAAGCATTCCTTAACACCTCCAAGAAGAATGAATCTCTTTTTCCTGTGATGCATCTTTATTCATTCTGCTAAGTAGACACCTATACCTCTGCATCATAGCAAGTTACAAGCATTTCTCATTTCCCCCATGTCAGACTATGAACTGTTTAAAGTCAGAGCATGTCTTATCTGTATCTCTACCCCTAGCAATGGACCCAGTATTTAGCCATTAAAATTAGAATTCTCTGATCAGTTGCAGGAGCATGACAAATGATTTGATTAAGTCTCTGAATGCACTTGGCTTTGCAAAAGGTCACTTAAGGAGAATTATGTAGATATAGCCTATAATATTTTCTAAAGTCTTATAAACTAAATCAGGTTCAGGCACTTAAATTTCAACTGAACTTGGTCCCTCTCTATAACATCTATCCTTATAATGTTTAAATGTTATAATAGCAAATTTTAAGTCCCAAGACTTGCAATGACCTTGTAGAGGTCGGCTGTTGCTTTTGTGGCTTCCTAGCATCCATTGTCTATTCTCTTGGTGAAAGTATTCTGAGCTCTTTGGGGAACTTACTAGCTTTCTCTTTGTGTACATTCCACTAAGGCTGTTAAGCAAGATTCTGAGTCCTGTTCTAACCACAGTGGTCGCATATGACTCATGCCAACCAGAGGATACCCTCCTAGAATTTGAATGTTGAGCCCTGGGGTAAAGTGTTGAAGACAATTTGTTTAAACAGAGCTTGGAGAGCCTTTTGAAAACTGTTGCTAGTTAAACACAAGGAACTATTGTTTGTTTCTGAGCCAAGCTGTACAGAATTCCTGTTAATTCTGTGAAGTACAAAATATCCAATATCCTTAACTTATTTTTTGCTCAAGTTATCCAGGTTGGCTTTTATGGCTAGTCAAAAGAAAGCCCAGGCCAGGCACAGTGGCTCACACCTGTAATCCCAGCACTTCAAGAAGCTGAGGCAGGTGGATTTCTTGAACCCAGGAGTTCAAGACCAGCTTGGGCAACATGGGGAAACTCATCTCTTAAAAAAAAAAAAAAAAAAATTAGCCGGGCATGGTGACGTGTGCCTGTCGTCCCAGTTACTTGGGAAGCTGAGGTGGGAGGATGCCTAAGCTTGTGAGGTCGAGGCTGCAGTGAGCCAAGATCACACCACTGCACTCCAGCCAAAAACAAAAATAATAAAAATATATTAAACCTGTTCACGATAGTCTAAGTGTTAATTCTATTATGTTATGCCCATTGATTATATCCAGATTGTTTAGCTAGGTATGAAATACAGGAAGTCTTGGTTATAATCTAATTTGTGATATAGCCAAAATAATTCATGCCTAAAATCATTTATAGGTTACTTGAAGTCATAAAATGTATATACAAGATTTATTCTAATCCTCCCATCCCTCAAGAAATCAACATAAGCTACTTTTTTGATACACGTGGAGTTTCTTTAATGTTGACTCACCTAATCATTTTCATGTATAGTTTTGTCCCCCAGCCCAATGCAGCAACCATATCAAATGGTAAGGCACTATGAGTATGTGATACATCTAGCTTATTTACAAAAACTATAAAGAAACTAGAAAATACAATTTTGTAGGACCCACGAAGTTCTACAGCATGCAGGCACAAGAAAGCCCCTTTTATCCATGATGTGAGCTCATTCCATCATGACCTCCTTCTCTCTCAGAACAAAGAATTCTTCTAAACTTCTCAGACTTCTCTCCAGGTAGGAGACACCCAAACCACTTATTTTACAACTGATAATATGTACGTTATTTGCATAAACATTTCTCAGTAAGATTATCATGAGGAAGAGGGCCTATTGAAACGATGACCAACAAAAGAAACCTCTAGTTTAAAAAAACAAAACAAAACATGAAACACTAAAGTCTTGTTCTAGGCTTTTACTCTTGTGGTTGCAAGAATGCATTCTTCTGCAATACATAACTTCTTATCTTATTCTTCTCTATGATTTATTATTGGCCTATCGATGTTCTCTTGAATTCACTTGCTTCCAGCATACATTTCTAAACTAAACCTACAACATTTACCTTCTCTTTGAAGTTGATTTGCCTTCCAATCTCACTACTCAACATAAATCAATTGTGTCTATGGTTGCAACTTCTGATGTGAACCAACTTCAGATTCGGGTACCATCACAAACTAGCTGTGTAACTGGGGGAAAAAAAGCCAAAACACTAAAATTCTGAGTATGTTTTCTCATCTTTAAAATGGGTCTAATAAGTGTACTAGCCACATAGGAATGTTGTGAGGATTAAATGAGATCATGTATATTGCCTGGTATATAGTAAGCCCTCAATGAGTGTTAATTTTGTTGAGTATGATGACAATATTGATTAATAATGTTCCATTTTAATACATTCATTTAGGAATTGAGGGTGATCTGTACTATTGCATTCCTTCTTAGTCACCTTCATGCCATCAAAGATAACAACACTTAATGAAAAGCTGGCAGCAATAATAGAAAAGTAGTCATCCCCAATATGAAGCAGTTAACAGTCTATAAGAAAAATTTCACAATAGGGAGGATAATGCTATGATAAGTTTTTTTCTCAAGTAAGTCTAGGCATCTTAACTGAGACCTTTCAGTCAATTTCAAAACATTTTACCTTGCCTTTCCAATACTGCTCCTTGGCATAGTGTTTCTATTTTAATGTTTTTAATGTTTCTGTTCTGCTCTAATATGCTCTAAAAATAAGGCAAATGTGTAAAGATTATGGCTAATATTCCTACTTAGACATTGTTTAAGGTACAAAGATCCAAATTTAACAGAAACACATAAGAACAGGGGGTCCAAGTCCTGAGTTCTAGTCCAAACTTTGCCATTCACTTCCTATGTGCCCTTAAATCAATTCCTTAATCTTTTTAAATAGGGTTCCCTGTTAAAAAGGAAACCTTAGACAAGTCTTAGTTTTAACTAAATTTAACCAAAACTGAAATGGTCAACAAATACAAGACAAAACAAAGCAAAACCAGTTCATTAATTGGGCAGCCCTCCAACCCACAGCAAGTTTATAAAACTCCAATGAATTACGTGATCTGGCAGCATTTGAAAGAAACAAAAGTTCAGTGAAGAAACAACTTAATTGGTTAGACCTTAATTGGTTAAGTGGTTACAGAACCTCCTGCAATCACTGAAGTTCAGTAACTGTAGTTAAATTCCATATTGAGCTGTTAGTCTTAGTTCAAGATGCTTATCCAAATCAATGGCCTCTCATAAATTTTATTTAATAAAAAACCTCCCTCTAAGTTAGAGTCTCGATGCAGGGCAACAGGGCTACTCTCAGCCACCATCATCCTGGATTACAGGCCTCAAAACATCATTCATAGATTATGGCAACCTTATGATTACATTTTTTGGCTCCTTATTTCAGCTGAAAAGAGACCATTTACAATTCAGCAAATGGCTGCACATAGACATTTAAGACTGAGGAAACATCAGGAAACTACTGTGACTATCAAGAGGAAAATATCAAGAATTTGGAGTATGCTCTTCGCCAGGGTCCTCATGAACCAAACCAACTAAAAGAAGTGGATGAAAGAACGAGCCAGATGAGGAGTCTCTCCATTTTAAGCAAATAGCCTGTTCATTAGTTTCTTGTAACTAAGTTTCTACCATATCCAATTTATTTGTGTGCAATAAGAGTATTATATTGCCTCTCATAACTACATTAAGTTAAAACAGAATAATTGAGCAGAAGTCTAGTGACATTATCCTGTCAAGCAAAAAAGGAAAGCATAGGAAATAAGAGGGGTAAGAGTCTCATTCTGATGAGTTTTGTCTCAGTATCCTGGGCGAAAGCTGTCCACATCCAAGATGCTATCTACTTTGAGGATAAAAACTTCCCTGGTCAGCTTTACCTTAAACTCTCCAATAGATATACAGTTCTAAGGGTCTGAAGGGGCCTTTGTAAGTTGAAAAATGTGGATTCAAAGTTCAAGGCTCTGAAGCTTTACTGTAGTATGAATGGTGAAAAGAATCTGGTATGGTTCTTGCCAATGGGATTTAAGAGCAGTCCTTCTCTCCAATGCCATTTCCAGAAGACCCAATATCCAGGTTCTAGATCATGAAAGGTCTGGTTATCATCAACTAGAGGATTACAAAAAGCTTCCTTTATCTGATGAAAATACACTCTGGTACAATACATCAGAGCCCTCAGCATTTAGAATTTAGAAAAGCAGGAGACACATAAGGTTCTGTTATTAAAGATAGAGGTCTTCCAGTAACTATTTCATCCATTAAAGCTACTGATAATACCCTTGGCAAAGTCAGTCCAATTAACCCACCAATTTTAATTTCCGTATAGTGTTTATCCTTTCAGTCTTTCCAGAAGCCTGATCATGACAGAGACAATAGCAATGACATTGTGTTAGTAACACCTTAACTGTTTTATCATTTTCCCTGTATAGAGGGTATCCCTGTCATTGGAGATCTCTCCAGAGATGTCCGATAAGGAGAATAACTTTTTTTTTTTTTAACTACAATTACATTCGTCTTCCTGCATGGAAAGCTTCTACATAAGCAAAGAACATAGACTATTACAAGAACACATTTACATCCTATTGAAAACAGTAATTGAATGAAATTCCTTTGTAAATGTTCAAATGATCTGTCATGTACAGAAATGAAACACCTGGGGTTTTTATTGGCCTCCCAGTGTCACAGGATCTTTGGGGTGTCACTTTTCCAGCCAGAGACCTCTGTAGATCGTGGCACATTTGGCTGAGTTTTGCTCAGGCCCGCTGGGCTTGTTCTGCCCACTCAGCCTGGCAGGCTGCACTCAGATCACACTACTGGCCTGGATTCTACATCTGCAAAGGTGAGCCAGGCACAGAGTGGTGAGGAGTGTGTGAGTGACTGATATGGTTTGGCTGTGTTCCTACCCAAATATCATAGTGAATTGTAGCTCCCATACTTCCCATGTGTTGTGGGAGGGACCTGGTGGGAGGTAAATGAATCATGGGGTTGGAACTTTCCCATGCTGTTCTCATGACAGTGAAAAAGTCTCACAAGATCTGATGGTTTTATAAAGGGGTGTTCCTTCCACTGCAAATGGTGTCTTGCCTGCCGCCATGTAAGGTGTGACTTGCTCCTCCTTGTCTTCTATCATGATTGTGAGATCTCCCCAGCCATGTGAAACTGTCAGTCAATTAAACTTCTTTCCTTACAAATCACCCAGCCTTGGGTATGTTTTTATTAGCAGAGTGAGAACAGACTAACATGGCAGTCAAGCATGGAGTCTGACCACTATAAACAGCCAGTCATGGTGGCTGCATTGTGGTGTGCAGCTCCAGGTGCCAGCACCAGTGACATCTCCATGAAAGTTTGCAGATGGACCACACATACCATAAACAGCTTCCACAGCTAGCACCAGGGAATGTGGCAGTGCCCAGAAGCTTGGAGCTACCAGAAACCATAGAGCCCCAAAGAGGGTGTCACAGCTCTGGCTCAGGGAGCTCCTAGGTCTGGGCTCCCCAAAAGGCCAAGCTCTTCTCTCCTCTCTTTTCCTTCTTGTCTCCCACAACATGGCAAACAAGGGGCATGTTTCAGTTTGTGTTACAGCTCTTTCAGCACCACCATTCAGAAGGCCCTGAGTTCTTGTCCCATATTCAGGAAGAATTAGGTACATGGACAAGTGAAGGATGAGCAAGGCAAAGAAGTGCTTTATTGAGCAACAACAGCTCAGAGGTGACCTGCAGTGGGTGGCTCCTCTCTGCAGGCAGGTCATCCCGTTGCCTAGCTGAGTCCAGGGTTTTTATGGGATTCAGAGGGGAGGAAGTGTGTGTTGATTGGTCAATGGGCAGCCATGGGTGGGACCAGAAAAAGAACCATAAGTTCTCACTCCAGTGTGTGGAAATGGCAGCCTGGTTCCCAGGCCTCATGCCAACCCTGTTCTGAAGGTGGAGTCTCACCAAGGAACTACTACTTTCTATCCAGGAAACTGTCTGCCTCCTGCTACCATCAACCTGCCATCCACGGTGCCCACAGTGTCTGTGCTGTTCATGCTGAGGGGTTCCTACAGGTCCATGCTGAGCCACCCTTATCTCTTCCTTGGCCTCCCTACCATGTTCATCAACACCCAAAATCTGGAGGGGGCCAAGGCAGCAGAGGTCTGGCATGTCAGCAGTGCCCCAAGTGTGGAGACATCCAGCCAGATCATGACAGCGCCTGGGCTCAGCCACAACTTTGCTCCACAATCGGAGTGGGTGCCGGGAGCAGGGAGAAGCTAGGCAGCAGGAACAGACACTCTTGAGCCTACAGGGGCAGGAGGGCTTCCAGGGCCCCTAAGGGTGCAGGGATTCCTGGGTCTGCAGCCATGGCTGCAGCTGCATCCAGGAGGGCTGGGCCCCTGCTTCTCCAATTCGGAAGGGGTTGGAACAGGCAGCCCCAGCTACACCTCCCCCACTGAAGCTAGCATCATGGCAGCAGCTGCTCCAAACATGCTGCTGCTGCCATCACCAGGATTATAGGATTGACAAAGCAAATATTGGCCATAAACCATTTTAGCAATTTTATACCAGTCACCCTCAAATATTTATTCATTATTTGGATCATCCTACATATTCCATGATGAGTTATAAAGTGCAAGGTTCTTTACAATAGAACCTTCAAGGATTCAAGGATGACTAGGCAAGCATCCAGTTCCTTTGTGAGTACATGTTTAAATATAGAAATTTACACTAAATTTCTCTCTTCAGATACTGATTTCGCTTTTCCAAATCTAGTGCATTATACTCTTAATAAATCATTATAGGGAAGTTGACTTGGATGAATTTTAAGGAGTTCATTCAAATTGCACATCTTACCAATTTCAGCATTGGCTGACCTCGCATGAAAATCTGCCAGAACACATCTTTGGTATTCAATTAATTCTTGTTCTACTTGATTTTGTGTTAACTTTATAAACCAATCATTAAGAATTTCAGGAACTCCCACCCAGTCTAATGGTAAGATCTTAAAGTTATGAAAAACTTGTACTTGTCAAAGTTCTTTCCATGAATCTTTTGAAACTACAACACTTTTTGAACTATAACCAACTGAAAATGCATTTAGAGAAGAAATAACTGAATGCCAAAGACTTAGAATGGCCATGTTAAAACATTATAACCAGCATTTGACAAGGAAGTTTGGTTATCTCTATTGCAGACAACATTTGAAGATAACAACTAGAATTATCACTGATATCATTATATTAGGACTAGTAGATATCTATGAATTTCATAGAATTTCTGAAACATGTTCATAAAGAAAATTCAGAGATTTAACATCATATTATTTGCTAATGCTTTCCATACAACATATGAAACGAGCCTAATTAGTTTAAAACCTCTACAGAATGAGATACTTTCTAATGCTCTCCAGGTACCCACCTAGAAAGTCCCAAGTCAATTGTAGATTAAAAAGACTAATTTATCATTTGATTTGGGGTAACGTAACAAATGGAGATTTACAACACTTGATCAAGATTACAGGTCACTATGAAATGGTCACTTAATCAGAGTGATAATTAAATACAGAAAGACACATAGTGGTAGGAAAAATCCTAGCTCTTTAGAAGAAAAGACTCGGTTTTCCTATGTAATCAAACAACCTAATAAGGCTGTATTCCCTATTAAGAACAGATCAATTTTCCACAAAATCCTTTTTGTTTTAACATAGAAGACTAGATTCTAACTTTGCATAGCTACACATTTGATATCAATGCTCAGTTCTTAGAAAAACAATTCCCCTCTAATCGTTATCAGCTTGACCACACGAAATTCCTTTCACAAAACTTATCTTCCATAAACCTTCTACAACTTTCTTAGCCATTCAGTTTTATTCATTCTTTCTTTATTCTGAAACAACCTTTAAACGGTCTGTAAATTAGACAAAATTGCTCTCAACAAAAATTAAAAACCCACAGCTTTCATATTGTATAGATTCACTTAACCAAAAACATCGCTTACTTTACTCGTATATGAAACCATATAGTTTTTGTTTGTTTGTTTTAATTAGAATCTCCTCAACTCTTAGTGATCTTAATTTCCAATGGAAACCTTGGAAGCAAGCAATCTTGAACTGTCTTATAGTAGTATTTTGTAGATGAGCACCATTTCAGCTTAGAAACCACCATTTTTGCTTGGTCTTTGTAGTACTACCCTTTTTATGTTTAATAGAGTGTAAGAAGTAGAAAAATTCCTCTTCAAAGTTTCCTTTCTTGTTAAAAACTAAATCACAAGAGTTAGAAATAATAGTTTGTTTTAAACATTTTCTTCAAAGCCTTTTTGCTAATAACTCTTTGTTAAGCCCTATCCTATGTAGTTGTTAGACATGCTCACAGGTATGTGGTACATTCTATGCCTTTGTACTTTAACCAAGATATCTGTGATAGATGTGCCCACAGGCATTTCCCAGCTCATAGCCTATGCCCCTCCCTTATTTAAACTTCCTTTTTGTTTTCCATTGGTTTTACCTGTTTAGAAAAGTTTTAAGTTTTTAGCCAATCAAGTTTCAGTTTTAGATTGTGAAGTCTAGCTCCAGCCAACAGAGATCAGACACAGTAGTAGATGACCCCAAATGCGTAAAAGATAAATATGTCTGCTTTTCCTTTGTTCGTTGTACTCTCCTAGCAAGACAGCTAACAAGAGCACCCTTTCTGCAGAAACTAAAGATTGCCTTGCTAAGAGATCCTTTGTCTCAGCGCTAGTTTTTCTTTGCAGCACCGAGCATCTGTTTCCAACATAGACCAAAATAGACTGATTTGTCTATACTGTAAAAGAAAAAACATAATATACCACTAGCACAACTTATTATCAGACATAAAAGCTGAGACCATCACTATGTTTGGTATTAGATAAGTGGCAACAAAAATGGCTGACACAAGAAGGTCAGTTCAGCCATTCAACTATTTGTAGATAGAATTGGACAATTTCTTTTTCTTTTTTTTCAGGATTGCAATTCACATCTATTATTTACAAAGAAACCACAAAATCGTAAGTAGGTGAATTCATCCATAGACCACTTCAGTGAGTATTTTTTGCTTATGATCATACCAAAATAGTTTGTTTCTTTGTTACAAAAAATTATTTGCACTGAAAAAAATATGCTCATGCTGTCTTCCTCCCACTCCTGCTTTCAAAATTCCATTCTCTTTTAAATGTCATCCTCTCCTTTATCTTACTTGGAATTCCAAGTGGTATATCTGGCAATTTCATACAGGTTACTTTTATATGGCTTAATAAAGGTGTAATAGACAAAAGTGTAAAGCAAAGTCTATAAGACAATTTCCATAGTCAATCAAGCACAGCCCTGATTCCATAATGCTAGAGTAACAGGCACATGAGTGAAAAGTCAATGGGACTCCATAGCCATGTAAAGACCAACATTAGGCTTTTGTGAGTGTGGTGACATGTGTCCTACTCATCAAGACACAGTGATCTGTTGCTTCCCATTTCTCCTAAAACATAGACTGATAAGTAATAAAAGATATACATTTAAAAAATATTTTTTGCAGCTTTTTAGTTGATTCCTTAAACTTGCTTTATTCATCAATATTAAAGTCAGGAAGTAAAAAAGCATAATAGCCATGATAACACCCAAAATAGTTTTTTGATGATGTTAACTATTTTTGAAGCCTTCAATACCTAAAACTTACATATGGACTTACATATGGACAATTCTTTTTCTTTCTAGAACACAACTACTAATTTTCTTATACTGTGTGTATGTATGTATCTGTTTCTCACATGACACTGAGGGAAAAACACTATATCTACTCTGTTTGTTTATACCCCTGGCCCTACTACGATGTGTGACACATAGTAGATAGTCAAATATCTGCTTAGTGAATGAATATGGCCAAGCATTGATTATCAGCCTTAAACAGCTCATCATTGTATTACTCTGTTTTCCAGGAGGACACATTCTACATTCTCACTGGAAGACGTGAATAGCTGCTTTATCTTTAGGACAGTCTCTATTAGCCTATCCCAGTCATTGAAAATAATTGGAAAGTCCCCCACTAGTCAAAAAAAAAAAATCATATTTATCCTATCTTCAGGCTTCTCTCCTCCAAAACACAATGAGATCAGAAGGGTTGAGGAGCAAGTTTCAGTATCTTAACTTACTTAAAAATGAGTCACACATTTCATAGATATCTATCACTCAATCCAACGTAACTTTAAGACCTCAGATAATAAAAGATTCTTGTGACTCATTTACAAGTTTCCAACCTATTTACATTCACCTAGTTTACTCATTCTTAACAAATGTGCTTAAATTGCTCATTACACAGAGGTACCCATTGAAGTTCAGAAAATGTTACCCCCAAATATTATCACAGTGATATTGATTACCAATATGTAAGCAAGGCAAGGCTTTCTGAATTCCCCTTATCTGCTAAAAACTGATTCTCTCAAGGGACTCAACTGTTATCAATCCTGTGAAGATTAACTCACAAGAAAGGAAGTCTCATCACACCCTGATAGACCTTGCTACTCAAAAACCATTTACAGGGCATGAGAATATTTTCTTTAACCATTCAACAATTTACTTATTTCAGCACAGGGATTAAGGGATCCTTGACCATTTCCTGATTGACCTGCCTGATTATTGCCCTAAGTTATTGTTACCTAGGTCATTCATTGAATTCAGGTTTCAACCCTAAATACCATTACCTGCCAAGACAAAGAAAGGAGGAAGCCTAGCTAAGACAAATGGTCAGAGGTAAGGCTTATTATATAGACTCTGATCTTTTTGCCTTCTCCATTGTAAAGCCTCTAGTGACTTAGTTCTTCCTGTCTTCCTGGTGCAGAGACACAAGTCTTTGTAAATGGAGACTTTTTCTTTCATTAAAGATAGGTCTCAAAATAACTAAAAATAGGCAGCTTCATCCCAACTGAACCTGTATTATTTAAATTACTGGGTTCTGGGCAGAGCCTATTAAAGAATAAGGCAGAGAAAGCATTTTCCATACAAGACTAGGATACTTTTTACTATCATTCTGAGCTCAAATTTTAGCTTACAGAAGTAGACTCTATTGATCTAAGAGCTCAACTTATATAAATAATTTTTCCCCTCGCATTTTAGTCTCGTAAAACCTGTGTGCTAATTCATTAATGAATGTCATGGTTTCTATGGGGTTTTCTCTTTCTAATATACACTACAAATAATTTTACCCAAATTAAAACTTTCTAATTGTGGCCACTATAATTCCAAATTACCTTTGGCAAGGTTTGCCCATTCCTCTTTAAAAAAAGAAAAGTATAATTCTGGGAATTATTATGCATGAATTGGGCTGGGATTCCAAATGTAGAATTTCCAGACCCTGGACTCATTCCAGTTTCTATTTAACACAAGCCAGCCACCCCAAGAAGGACACATACGCCTTTTCACAGCACAAATTAACTCTGGGTGGAGTTTCAGAAGGTGGAATGGAATTCCTTACTGGATCCAAGTGAACCTATGACTTTACCTTCTAGTAACCTTACCTACTGAACCCGGTTCAGTTTCATGGAGAGTTTAAACCCAGCTTAGATTTTTAAAAATTGCTCAAAAACACTCAGATTGCTCAAAACACACATTTGTGGAGCTTCACAAATTTGAGAGAGAACTCACTCATGATTCCCAGAAAAATGCAAGAAAATAGTGACTATAGTAGTCTCAGTGGGCATCTATGCCTGATTGCTTGATACTTTTGGGGTGGCAGGAGTTCTGTTCTGATTCCTACCAACCATACCAAATATCTTAAAAGGAAAGTCTTAGTCAAGTTTAAATGTTAAGTTCAATTGAGCAAAGAAAAACAAAGCAAAACAAAAATGATTCATAAATTGGGCAGCCCCTCAAACCAGAGTAGATCCAGAGAATAACAACCAATAACCTGATCTGATAGCATTTACAGGAAATGGAAGTTTGATATAGAGACAACTTAATTGGTTAAAGCTTAATTGGTTAATTGGTTACAAAGGCTCTTGCAATTAACAAAAACTCAGCTACTGTAGTTAAACTCCATATTGTTTTGTTCTGTTAGGCTTTGTATAGAAGCCTAGTCCAAATCAACGGCCTCTCACAAATTTTATTTAACATCCCAAATGGTGACTTGGGTATAATTAGGCTTGTAAATATTTCTTTCAGTGCTTCAATGAAATCAAAAAATTGGTTGTGATTCCCACTTTAGGTAGCTTTGCTATTCTTAATTTGCTCGCAAAAAGCCAAGGGCATTTTCTTATTCTTGAATCAAGTCCTAAGATTGTAGTATTTTTAAAGAACTGTCCATTAGTGTGAAGGAAACAACCTGGTTAAAGCCAACTGTAGGAAACTGAATGTATAAATAGAAAAGCAGACCAATAAACTGATGTTTTTCTTCCCTTTCTTGTGAAAGAAACCTGTAAGATTCTCACATTCTCTGAAGGCAGTCCTGCAAACTGGTTTGGAGAGCAGATGTAGACTCAACATAATTAGAGTAAGAATGAGGGAAAGAGAAAAAAAAGGATGCAGGAGATAAAGAGAGAAAAGTCTGAAAACAAAATCATGTGTGTTTTTTTTTTTTTTTTAAGACGGAGTCTTGCTCTGTCGCCCAGGCTCGAGTGCAGTGGCATGATCTCAGCTCACTACAACCTCCGCCTCCTGGGTTCAAGCGATTCCCCTGCCTCAGCCTCCTGAGTAGCTGGGATTACAGGCGCACACCACCATGCCCAGCTAATTTTTATATTTTCAGTAGAGACGAGGTTTCCCCATGTTGGTCAGGCTGGTCTCAAACTCCTGACCTCATGATCCACCCGCCTCACCCTCCCAAAGTGCTGGGATTACAGGCATGAGCCACAGCACTCGGCCAAAATAATTTCTTGCCACTCAAAGTGTGGTTGTTAGGCTAGCAACACTGGCATCACCTTAGGGATAGTTTGAAATACTGAATCTCAAGAACTGCCCTTATCTACTGTATGGATGATGTTGGTGGCACTAAGCAGATTTTTCACCTGCTAGTATCCCAGTTCCCTAGATACCCTGAGTATTGGCTGATAAAAAAAAACTCTCAGCTGATCCTTTATTTAGAGTATTATCCCCACCTGGAAGTCTGTACAACACACATTCCCATAACGCCGCTCAGCAAACTTCAGCTAATGACTAACTCCTGCCTAGGAACGGAAGGCTGGGCCTTCATCTCAGGATGAGACCCTGCTGCAATTTGTGTTCTAAGAATTCCCCAAGGGTTTAGATTGAAGCTAGTCTACACTTGAGATCACATTCATAAATCTTTTTAAGCCCACTCTATCAGGCTTTCCCCACTTCTTTTATACTGAAAATAGCTTCCTCCCACTCCCCTCATCAATCACTTGAACAAGAATCCCCATCTCAGGCTCTTTGTTTAAGGAACTCAGCCTAAATCAGTTTATACCAGAAGTAAACCTAAGAAGAAGACTAAGGATAGACTTTTGCTGGCATCAGCTTGCCAATCTGACTACCTGGTGGTCGGTGATGTATTAATAGTCTCTGGCATGCTGTAGTATGCGACTACTCAACTTTCAAATGGGGGAAATGGGATGGGATCCAGGTAGAGGGGATGCACTAACTGGTGAAATTTCACAGGCTTTGCAGAGATATGGGAA